ATTTAAATATTATTTTATAAACTAGTAATTTTAAATTATGGAATTAATGTATAAATATGAAAGCATTTCAAGCAATTAAGAGGGATAGGAAAGTATTTTTAAAATACTGTCTTTTCATAATAGCCCATTTTTGTTTATATTTTGTCCCAACCTTTTTTCCCTCAGAAAATCAATAAAAAGTTAATATCTAGAAAATGTGAAGAACTGTTGCATATCAATAAGAAAAGATCATACAACTCAGTGGAAGAACAGGTAAAACATATGGGCATATAATTCACAGAAGGGGAAATACAAATATAAATATGAGAAAAATATGCCCAACCTTAATAATCAGAGAAATGCAAAATTTTGAATAATCAGCTACAAGTTTTTGCTCATCAGACTTGCAAATATTAAAGAAATTGATAGTACTCAATGTTGAGGAAACTCTAATTTTCATTTTATCTTGGTTGGAGTATTAATCAGGACAGCCTATTTTTAGGGCTATTTAGAAATTTGAAAACTTGAAATACATACATCCCTTATGATCCAGCAGTCTCCCTCTCATTATCTACCTTATTTGTATATTGTATAAAGAGGCATGTATAAGAGTGTTCACTGTACCTGTGTGTTAGTATGAACATATGGCCAGGGAAATAAGAAAAAAATATATGCAGAATAATTCATACAGTACGAGGGACCATTTATGTATTTTTTAAGAAAAGTATATAGAGTTGTTGTTAGGTGCTGTCAAATCAATTTTCTACTCATAGTAACCATGGGGTCACTATGAGTAGAAAATTGAACTGCCCCCATAGGGTTTTGGATGTATTCTTTAAAGAAGCACAGTGTTAGGTCTTTGTCCTGCAGAGCCATTGAGTGGATTCAAACCACCAACCACTGAGGCTCTATATGCATACATATGTGTGTGTGTGTGTGTGTGTGTGCGCGTGTGTGTGTGAGTGTGAGAGAGAGCGGGCATCTGAACATACATAAATGCACAGAAAAGTTCTGAATAAATAAGCTGATACTAGTGGATATCTTTCAGAAGAGACTGGGAAGGGTGTTCTTAAGAAAATTTCTCTCTGAGTTAATGGTTTAGATGTTTCACAGTAAGAAATCACTTTGAACTAGGTTCAGAATATTAATTTTGCCATTTACTAGTTGTGTAATATTAGACAAATTACCTATACCCCTTACCCAGCCTTAGTTTCCTCATTTGTAAAATGGGGATAATAAGCAGACCTACTCAAAGAGCTACTGGATTCTATTAGTATGTCTTCTTTAATGTTTATTCATCTTATTTGGTATTCTTTCTGCCCTTCAAATCTGGGGGCTTATTTTTCTTGTGATTTCTTTGAATATTTTCTGGATATTTCTTAAATGTTTCCTCTCATCTATTTTCTCATTTTTCCTTCCAGATTTTGTTGTTTTTCTTGTTATGTGCTGTCGAGTCGGCCCCGACTCATAGCAACCCCTCCCAGATAGATACAGGAAAATCTCTGCTTTTCTTTTTTCTTCTTATCTCTTTTTTTATTGTGCTAAAAAATACCTAACAAAATTTAATATTATGCCCATTTTTAGTGTACAATTCAGTGATATTAAGTTCATTCACAGTATTTTGCATCCATCACCACTGTCTATTTCAAAACCTTTTTTATTACCCCATAAAGAAACCCTATATCCATTAAGCAGTTACTCACAATTTTCCCATTCCCTAGCCTCTGGCAATCATTAATCTGTATTCTGCCTCTATGGATTTGCCTATTCTGGATATTTTGTATAAATGTAATCATACAATACATGGCATATTGTGTCTGATTTCTTTCACTTAGCAAAATGTTTTCAGGGCATATCCATATTGTAGCATGTGTCAATACTTCATTCCTTATTATGGCTGAATATTATTTCATTTTATGGATAATAGTGTATTTTGTTTATCCATTTATCAGTTGATGAGCACATGAATTGTTTCTACATTTTGTTTATCATTAACAGTGATGTTAAGAATATTTGTGTACAAATTTTTGTTTGAACACCTACTTTCAATGCTTTTGAGTATATACCTAGGAGTGGAATTGCTGTATCATATTGTAATTCTAGTTTAACTTTTTGAGGAACTGCCAAACTACTTTCTATAGTGACATATTATATTCCTACCAGTAACGGGTAAGGGTTTCAGTTTCTACATATTCTTTACCATACTTGTTATTTTCTGCTTTTTAAATAATAACCATCCTAGTGCATGCAAAGTGATTATCTTTTGTTTGAAGTGGTTATTTTTTGTTATGGTAAATACATAGATAACAAAACCTTTGTCATTTCAACATTCTTCACTTATTCCATTCAAGGACATTAATTAATTATGTTTGTCTTATTGTTCAGCCATCACCACTATCCATTTACAGATTTTCCATCACCCTTAACAGAAGTTCAGTATCTCCTAAGCAAAGAATCCTCATTTACTCCTCCCTCCTCCCCAGCCCTGGTAACCTCTAATAAACTTTGGCCTGTATATACTTGCGTGTTCTAGGTAGTTTATGTAAGTGTAATATTTTCAAGGTTTATCTATATTGCAGTATGTATCAGCAGTTCATATGTCTTTATGGAAGAATAATACTCCATTGTATATATGTAGCACATTTTGTTTATTCATCCATCTGTTGATGGACATTTAGGCTGTTTCTACCAATTGACCATTGTGAATGATGCTGAAATGAATATTGGTATACAAGTATCTGTGTTTCTGATTTCAACTCCTGGGAGTGGAATTCTATATCACATGGTAATTCTGTGTTTTGCTTTTTTTCCCAAAACACTATTTACGTATTTATTTTTAAATTCATGTTCCAAGTAAGGTTCATGCATTGTTATTTTTCTTCACTGTTCTTTAATCTAGAAAAGTACCCTTGACTTTTTAAAAAGAACTGTATTTAGGTATAATTAAAATACACAAAATTACAAGTTAACATGTACAATTTGATGGGGTTTTGTTTTGGAAAATGTGTATTTCCATTAAAGCATCATCATAAATAATGCAATTATCTGTCACCTCCAGCTTTTTCCTTTGTCAAGAGCAATCTCCGTATACCTCCTCTTCTTTTGACTTTTATGATGTTTAAAGTGTAATTTATTTTCATTTTAAGTTTTCAAATTTAATTTTTAATAATGTCCATGTTTGGACATTCCAGAACAAAATTCTGGAAAATGTAGTCTCTTCCTCAGCCACAATGTCTCCTAGCTTTGAGAAGTTGATTGGCATTTAAATACTTTATTTATTTTTCTTTTTCATCTCTATGGACACTTTTAGAATGTTCTCTTTTCCCTATATGACAATGTATTTTTATTATTTGAAAAAAGTTTTACATCCTTGGTACTGTCCTTGATTTATTCCAGCTGTTCTACTGAATATTTTATTTCTGTCTTCATATTTGTAGTTTTCAAGAGCTCTTTTTACTAGACTGTTTTTCACAGAGGCTGTACCATTTTATATTCCCACCAACAACTGATAAGGCTTGCAGTTTCTGTACATCCTCATCAGCACCATTTTAGGGTTTGTTTTAATCATAGCTAACTTAATGGATGTGAAGTGATAATCTCATTTTGGTTTAGATTTACATTTCCCCAGTGACTAGTGATGTCAAGTATCTTTTCATGCTTATTGACCATTTGTGTATCTTATTTTGAGAAAGTCTGCTCGGGTTCTTTGCTCATTGGGTTGTTTGCCTTTTTGATGTTGAGTTACAGGGATTCTTTGTGTATTCTGGATATTAAACCTTTATTAGATACATGGTTTGCAAATATTTTCTCCCATTCTGTAGGTTTTATTTTCACTTTCTTCAGAGTATTCTGATATGTACAATTTTTTTAAAAAATGTTTTGAAATCCAGTTGGCCTATTTATTTTTCTTTTGTTGCTCATGCTTTTGGTGTCATATCTAAGAACTCATTTTCTAAACCTATATCCTGAAACTTTACCCCTATATTTTCTTCTAAGAGTTCTATGGTTATATATATGCACTACAGCCTTCCTCTGGTAACTGTGGGAAAGGCATGGGACATGCTTTTGGCACAGTAAGTTGCAACTTGTCTCTGATGCTGCCTCAGGATTGGCCCACTACCTCATCTTCAAAGGTGGGAGGTCTTCCCCTTCCTGCTGGATATTGTCTCCTCTCTACATCATTGACCTTTCTGGTGTATGCAGCTTTTTCCTCTCGCCACTTTTTTCTGGGCACAGATGCCTGTGCTGTGTTCTGCTTGGTGCAGAGGTAGGGAGGGAAGGAGCAGAGCTGCCTTGCTGTTCATTCTTTAGTACCCCAACCAATTCACTCATCCATTCAGTAAATATCTATTAGGCAACGCATAAGTTGAAACTCCTGTTTTTATGCAACTCACATTCTAGTGAGGGAAGATAGACTCTAAACAAATAAGCAAACAAGTATGGTGTACAGATTATTTAAATAAAGGGCTATTATGAAAAAATTGTGGATTACTTACATAGGGTCATCAGAGAAGACTCGTATGTAGAGGTGACATTCACAGGTGGAGACCTGAGTAGTCATCCAACTAGCAATTTGAAGAACATTCCAGGCAAAGATTATAAAGCAAGTGCTATAACCTAAATTATTACCATTTTGTTTTTTTATCTTTTTGTCTGCATTAGGAGATGTCCCCAGATGCTTCAATCCCAGGGGATCCAGAGGTCTGTCCTGGTGCTGTGTCAAGCGGTGGAGCCATTCATCTGCACACAGGAGGTGGATATTTTGGCCTAAGATTTACTTGTCCTAGTCTCAAAAGTCCTATTAGCAAGAAATCCTGGACTCGCAAATTAAAAAGCTGGGCATACAGGCTACGGCAGTCAACCAGCTTTTTCAAGAGATCAAAAGTCCATCAAGGTAGTGTGCTTACAGTCAGGGACATAGACTAGGTAACATCACTTTTCATTTATGTATGTATTTTTTTTATTCATATACAAATCTTGCCACTTTTCCATATAGCTCATATATGTGACATGTCCATTAATCCCATTGCCATTTTATTTTTCCTTTTATAACTAATTTAGTTTTACAGTTTATTCATTTCATATAGATATTAAGTCTTGGGATAAATCTTGCAATGCCTGATTTAGAGTGAAAGACTTATGCAATGTCGCTTTATTACATTAACACCTTTTAATTATATAGCAGAAGTTAAGCTTTTTCTACTTTTTTCCATTTGGTAACATAAGCAAATTTAATCTTAACAATTTTCTTTTTCTGCTTGCAATTTGCCAAAACTTTCAGTGGAAACAGAAGATATGAGTTCAGCAGTTGCTCCTGATCCCATTCCTTTGACACAAGAGTCCATAGCTGATACTAGGGCTTTGAGTAGATGTAAAGCGATGAGTGGATCATTTCAGCGGGGTCGGTTCCAGGTTTGTGTCTTTGGTTGAATCCTTATCTACAAGGGCATAATTAAAGGTAGCAGCATTTGAGATCTTGGTCTGTATATAACACTTATTTTAAATGTAGATTATTGTTATATTTAATTTGTTCCCTTTGCATATAACCCCTCACCTTTTGAAACCATCCAATAAAGGTGAGTGTAAAGAAATGAGGAGTTCAGTAGCTTGAAGAGAGTGCAGAAATGGGTTATCATTTCGTGGAGGGTGTTGGGGGTGATTGGGTCATCTTTTTAAATAAGTCTAATAATTTCATGTCCTTCCAATTCTTGGCAACATTATGGAATCTTTTTTTCAAATTGTGTAACTTTATTTGTATAGTATGAAGCCAGCTCTCTCTCCCCAAGGGACCCTATTTAAAGACTTTGAATATAGGGAGTATGAGTGGGATTTTCAAGTTGTGATATTTTGATTTGTATACATCACAGCAGACCATCCACTTGTCTGTGTCATATATTGATAATGGATTTCTTCATGAGGTTTCATCTTTGGTTAGGTGGAGCCAGCCACTTTTGCCTTTTTATATCTCAGGTGATTACAGTTCCTCAGCAGCAGTCAGTGAAAGTGACATCTTTTGGAATAGAGCACATACCAGCTTTCAATCAAATGACAAACCATTCTAATGAAGAAACTCTAGTCTTTACTGAAACAGCAAAGTCTCAGTTGATAGAAATAGAACCTGCTGTGCACAATCCACAAATTTCATTTTCTCCTCAGAAGTTACAAGCTGTTTACGAAACCGTTAAAGAAGATAAAGGAATTCCCAAACAAGGTGACAACTTCTTATCTTTCAGCACAGCTTGTGAGACTGATGTATCTTCTATGAACCCAGAAAAGGAACTGGAAGAAACTTCAACCACAGGAAGTAGTATGCAGTCTCGATCTGAACTATTGATTAGAGAGAGAGAGAAACTAACCTTTGGGAAACAGCCTAGTTCTGATAGTGAATTTTCAGCTTCTCTTGCTGGCAATGAAAAGACAGTGGCAAAAGCTGGTCCAGAAAGTGATCAGTGTCATGAAGAAGCATATGTTCAAACACAGAGTTCACTCTTCTATTCACCATCTTCCCCAATGAGCAGTGATGATGAGTCAGAAATAGAGGATGAGGACTTAAAGGTGGAGCTTCAAAGATTACGAGAAAAGTAAGGACTGTTTTTCTTCTGTCACAAATGTAATTGCCTTGGATTTTATAGAACTTTATATTTAATTGGTAGGTAAATATTTAGGGTTTATGACATTTTAATAAATGAAAACTTTTTATTAGACACTATTAAAACAGTCAAAATGATATCTAATGATAAACATTTATGAATGTGAAATTTCATATTAAAATGTTTTCATAATTGGAGGGCTAATTGTAATTGGTTATATATCTGAGATTCTTGGGAGTCCCTGGGTGGTGCAAATGGTTAACATACCCAGCTGCTAACTGAAAGGCTGAAGGTTCAAGTACACCTAGAGCCACCTAGAAAGAAAGCCCTGACTATCTATTTTTAAAAAGTCAGCCATTGAAGACCCTGTGAAGCATAATTCTACTTAAATACACATAAGGTCGCCATGAGTTGGAGTCAGTGGGATGACAACTGGCTTATTGATATTGTGGTAATATATTTTATCCTTTAGGAATGCTGTTTTCATATTTGATTTTATAAACTAGGGTATATTTTTATGAAATCAGTATTAAGTTACTGAATTTTTTCTAATTTCATTCATGGGGTTCAAAACTGAAAAGGTGCAAAATGGAAATCAGTAGGTCTCCCTATCCTTCTACCCCAGCCACTCAGTTTTTCCCTTCCCACTGCCACTGAGTCGATTTTGACTCATAGCAACCCTGTAGGACAGAGTAGAACTGCCACCCTAGGGTTTCCAAGGCTATAAATGTTTATAGAAGCAGACTGTGTCTTTCTTCTGCAGAATGGCTGGTAGGTTCAAACCACCAACCTTTTGGTTAGCAGCCGTATACTTTAACCACTGTGCCACCAGAGCTCTCTAGTTTTTCCCTATAGGGCAACCATATTTCCTGTTTCTTGTATATCCAGAGTTAAACTATATATATATATACACACACACACACACACAAATACATACATATTTTATTCTTTTTTTCACCCACAAAGTATAGCATATTCTATAGACTTTTCTTCTATCTTGCTTATTTTAACTTTTTCACAGTACTTGGGATCTGCATCATTCTTTTTTCATTTTTTACAGTTCCATAGTATTCCATTGTGTGGGTACCCAAAATTATGTACATACCTTCTATCAGTGACCCCATGCCATTATTTTTGAAAAGTTGAAATCAACTTCAGCTGTTTCTGACTGTAGCTTATGCTTTAAATAATTTCTACCTTGTTCTGGGACTTAAAGAACGTAAAAAGCAAGCAGGAGGAAGTGCTGGCTTTAGCCAGATTCTTCCATGTTTAGATAATACACCAATTGGATACTAAGTTAGAATTCTTCAAGAACTAAAGCAGATTAAATTCCTTGGAAATTTCTTAGTTTTTAAGGCCTTGTCAAAGGGAGAAAAAAACTATCATGCCAATCAGGGCTATATGTAATACTATTTTTTTTCTCCAACTTGTTTCATTTTTTTTTTTTCAGAAAGTTGTAAATTTATTTCATCTTCAAACAAAGGATCATATTTTTTAAAAACATAATGCCCCTTTAACTTGAGCCTAGAAGAAAATTGTGAGTGTATCCTTTAACATTCATCACTAGAATGTTTAATTTTTACTTTAAAAATGATAATAAAGATGCAGGTTTGACGTTTTTTATATAAAGTAATATGCAGTATATGTACACTTGTACTTTTGTAGTAAAAATATTTATTATAAAAGTGGCTTAATATTTGTGATATCAATCAATATTTCATCACAGTTTTTA